AAAAAGCTCAAATTCATGCAATAAGAAATGAAAAAGGAGAAATCACTACAGACCCAATAGAAATACAGAGGATCATCAACACCTATTTCGAAAACCTCTACTCTCAAAAGTTTGATAACACAGAAGAAATAGACAGATTCTTAGAAGCATATGAAGTACCAAAGCTAGATCAAGAGGATATAAAACTGTTGAATAACCCAATCTCTGCTAATGAAATTGAGAATGTAATTGGGTCCTTGCCCACCAAGAAGAGCCCAGGCCCAGATGGATTCACTGCAGAATTCTACAAGAAATATAAAGAAGACCTAATGCCGACACTCCTCAAACTATTCAATGAAATTGAAAGGGAAGCAATCCTTCCTAAGTCATTCCTGGAAGCAAATATTACTCTAGTACCAAAACCTGAGAAAGACCCAACTATAAAAGAGAACTATAGACCGATCTCCCTAATGAACACAGATGCAAAAATCCTCAATAAAATATTGGCAAATAGGATCCAGCAAATCATCAAGAAGATTATACACCATGACCAGGTGGGATTCATCCCAGGAATGCAAGGATGGTTCAACATACGCAAATCAATAAATGTAAACCACCATATCAATAAAGCCAAAAATAAGAATCACATGATCATCTCTATAGATGCAGAAAAAGCCTTCGATAAGGTCCAACACTTATTCATGATAAGAACTTTACAGAAAATTGGAATAAATGGTCTTTACCTCAATATAATAAAGGCCATTTATGACAAACCAACAGCCAGAATCATACTAAATGGCCAAAAATTGAAAGCCTTTACTTTAAAATCGGGTACAAGACAAGGATGTCCTTTATCACCACTCCTATTTAATATAGTACTGGAAGTACTAGCCAGAGCAATTAGGCAAGAAAGAGAAATAAAAGGGGTAAAGATAGGAAAAGAAGAAGTTAAATTATCATTGTTTGCAGATGACATGATACTCTACATAGAAGACCCCCTAAACTCCATTGAAATACTCTTAGATACAATAAATAAATTCAGTAATGTGGCTGGATACAAAATCAATACTCAGAAATCAATAGCATTCCTATACACGAACAACAAAATTACAGAGGGAAATAAGAGAAACTGGACTATTCACATTAGCAAGCAAAAAAATGAAATATTTAGGAATTACTCTTACGAAAGAAGTGAAAGACTTATACAGTGAAAATTATAATACACTGAAAAAGGAAATTGAAGATGATCTCAGAAAATGGAAAGACATCCCTTGCTCATGGATAGGAAGAACAAACATTGTGAAAATGGCCATTCTCCCAAAACTGTTATACAGATTCAATGCAATCCCAATAGAAATACCATCAACATACCTTATAGATCTAGAGAAATCACTCCTAAATTTCATCTGGAACCAGAAGAGACCTAGAATCGCAAAGGCAATTCTAAGCAGCAAAGACAAAGCAGGAGGCATCACAATCCCTGACTTGAAGTTATACTACAAAGCAACAGTAGTAAAATCAACATGGTATTGGAATCAAAACAGAGCTGAAGATCAGTGGAATAGATTAGAAGATACAACCACAACTACGAACACACTCAACCACCTTATTTTTGATACAGGAGCCAAGCAGGTTCACTGGAAGAACGACAGTCTCTTTAATAAATGGTGCTGGAAAAACTGGCTCTCCATTTGCCGAAAACTAAAGCTAGACCCATGTCTATCACCATGTACTAAATTAAAATCTAAATGGGTCAAAGATCTGAATATTAAAACAGAAACACTAAATCTATTGGAAGACAAAATAGGTAGAAACCTTGGAGACATAGGAGTAGGTAAAGAATTCATGAACAGGACTCAAACCGCACGGGAAATACTTCCCAGAATCAATAACTGGGACCACTTCTTATTAAAAAGTTTCTGCATGTCAAAAGAAATCTCCAGCATAGTGAAAAGAAAACCCACAAACTGGGAAAAGATTTTAGTGAACTCTCTCTCAGACAAGGGCCTCTTGTCTAAAACATATAAAGAATTAAAGAAACTCAGACCTCCGACATTCAAAGATCCAATCCAAAAATGGGCATCTGAGATGAATATGCAATTCTCAGATGAAGAAATGCAAATGGCAAATAAATACATGAAAAAATGCTCATCATCATTGGTCATTAGAGAAATGCAAATTAAAACCACACTGAGATACCATCTCACTCCTGAAAGAATGGCCAGGATCAAGAAAACCGACAACAAATGCTGGAGAGGCTGTGGGGAAAAAGGAACTCTCCTGCACTGCTGGTGGGAGTGTAGACTGGTACAGCCTTTGTGGAGATCTGTCTGGAGATTTCTCAAAAAGTTGGGACTGGAAATCCCATTTATTCCAGCTATTCCACTTCTAGGCATATTCCCAGAAGAACTGAAAGCATCATACCACAGTGATATATGTGCACCTATGTTTATAGCAGCACAATTTGTAATCGCCAGATCTTGGAAACAACCCAAGTGCCCATCAACTGAGGAATGGATAAAAAAGTTGTGGTATTTCTATACAATGGAGTATTATTCAGCTATAAAGAAGGATCACATTGAGATATTTATCAATAAATGGGCACAGCTTGAGACCATACTCATAAGTGAAATAAATCAATCTCGCATGTGTGAATACCGAATAGTTTCCCTAATGTAAGTAATGATTCAAATATATAAAAATATGTGGTAATCATGATTCCCCATTAGGTGGCCTTGAAGCCTTATAAAGTTTTCACTCATTAATTAGAAAGGCTTTATTCTGGGCTTCTTGATATGAAAATATTTGAAGCTAGAGTATATGAAGTTTTACCCAAATATTTCAAGGAAAAAGACACTATGGTAACTACTATTAAGTCAGGTTATAAGGTGGTGAAGTACTAGGTTATTGAAACAGTCATGCTATGACCTCTATTGTTATATTGTTATGTCCTGTTTTATCTCAATCTCCCCCTTATTGTTTCAAAAAAAATTATTTAGTCATTTCTTATGTTTGTCTTAATTAAAGAAAAAATTCAAAAAAATTAGGATATATAAATAGTAACTCTTTTCGATTTCCTATTAACTTGTTTTGAAGTCCTGTAGTACTCCCACGATCTTGTTTTGACTGATTAGACTCTGTTCCATTCTATATGATAGTATCAAGTTTGAAGACATAGGCAACTACTTTGAAGACAATAAGATTCACTAAGATACCCATTCTGGTTTGACTATTGTCTTCTTTGGAAGTCCTGTAATGTTTACAACGCCTAAGTTTTATTGGTCTTGTTCTCTACTGTTTTGTCCAACTTTATAATATCTAATAAGATAGACAATTCTTTTTAAGGAAACAAGGGACAACGTTGATAACCATTGTTGATAAACTTGTACTCTGTTCTACACCATGTGCTACGTCTATCCTTGGTATTGACTGACAGCTTTGTTTTGCCATATTTGACTGTATTCTTCCCCCCCCCAAAGAAAGTAATAAGCACTAAGGAGTAATAAAATCCAAGATGTGTAAATTTTGTTGTAAAAAAGAGAGGGAAAAAAAAAAAAAAGAAAAGGAGCTCTAACGGATATAACAGCAAGTGTGTTTGGGGGTGTTAAATAGCTGACTTTATCAATGTTTTTGGAACATTGAACACAGCTGTTTGCAGTCTCCCTGTTTGAATGTCCACCTTGTGTTCTTTGATACTGTGATTTGAGGAACTATTTTCAAGAAAATAGTGTGTAATCTACTAGCAGGTAATTTCTTACTGTTATGGTTTTTTGTTTTGTTTTGTTTTGTTTTGTTTTGTAGTTCTGTATTGCGTGTACCCTTACGCCGCTTTGGTTTGTTTTGTGTTTTTCTCTTTTTCCTCTTAAATTAAAAAAAAAAAAAAAAACTTTAACCAGAGAAGCCCACTGGGTCTGGAGTTCATTATGGAACTTCATAAATTACGGATTCAGTTTCATTAATGGATAATGGCTATGTTGGTTTGCCAGGGGTATGCTCATGTTTAAGTGTTAAGTGCTCCCAAAGCCTGTGTATGAAAAGGTTGGTCCCCAGCTGGGAAGGTGGCAGGACCCGTAGCATATGAGGTATAATGGGTGGCCGGTGGGTGTTCCCTTGAAAGGGATATTGGGACCCGGGACCATTCCTGTCTCTCTCTTCATGCTTCCTGACTGCCATGAAGTAAACAGGCCTCCCCCATCGTGCTCCCCATGAGGTCCTGTGGCCCCACAGGACAAAGTGCTGGACCACATGGCCACAGATTGATACTTAGACAGCTGCCTTCCCATGTGTCCTTTCACCGTGGCCTCTGCCCAAGTGTCAGCGGTGGCTTCATCTCTTCTGCTGAGAAGCACATTACTTGTACAGGGTGAGAACTGTGCTCAGCAGTTGTCCACCTTGATAATAGCATAGCCACGGGAATCCTCTCCAGAAGAGGAATGGCCATCTTTGCTCACAGTGTGGGAGGCTTCCCTCCGTAGTCACTTTGCCTGGACGTTCTTGGGCCTGCGGCGAGGCGGCGGTCCTCCTCAACTCATGGCAGGTGGGAAGCAAAGGAAAAGACGGGAAGATCAGAGACCCCAGTGTCCCTGGAGGGCAGCCAGTGGGCCCCACCTCCCAAAGGCTCTGCCTCCTTCCCCAGCACCACTTCCTGGGACAAGGCCTGTCACAGAAGACCTTTTGAGGGACACTTTCAAACCATATTGACCTCATCCAGCCTTAATGAAGCTTTATACTTTATAGCCCTGCCCTCAAATACTGTCACAGCCTGAAACACTGTGGGTTACAGCTTCAACATACAGGTTTTGAGGGACAGATCAGCATCTAACATAGGCTTGTTCAGATGTTTGTAAGATTGGTAAGTTATATCTTTCAAGGACTCTTTTTATCTACACTGTCAAACATACTGGCATAGTTTGCCTATAAAATTTAATTATCATCCTGTTTATTCTGAGGGTTCTGTGGTGATGCCCCCCGTTTTGGTCCTGAGATGAATAATTTGCATTTTTCTCTATATATAAAAACAGGTTTTGTTAGCAATTGGTCGTGACACCTATGTAAGGAAAATAGGCTTGGAGAAGATTGGTGTCAGCATCAGTGAGAGGTCAGTATGTGTGGGGCTGCAAGTCACCTCTTAGAACAACATTTTCATGCTCTCAATCGATTTTACAAAAATGCTTCACCAACTCTGCAGTTTGTCAGTCAGTAACTTACTGTGTACCTTAAAGAGCTCATACACTTGACAGATTTTTTAAAAATAGTCATGGAAGTGTATTCACTTACCACATGAGAATATTTATGTCTCTGGTGAGGCAAGGAGAAAATTCCAAAGCTGCAAGGTGATGGTGGGGAAAATCAAATTAATCTCAGGCATCCCAGAATTGTACATGGCTTCGCCAGAGAGAGATTTTCTGTTAGAACTTCAGAAAGCCTTGCTGTTTTAAGCCATTGATTTTATGAATTATTGGTAACTCATAGTACATGAATTCTTTAGACAAAGGCCTTTATCTTTTGGAATAGTGTTCACCAGCAATACGATTGGTCATATCTTTTTTTCTTTTCCATGCCCCCAGAAGTGGCAAAATACCAGTCAATGATGTGGAGCAGACCAATGTCCCCCACATCTATGCTATTGGGGACATTTTGGAGGGAAAGCCAGAGCTCACTCCTGTTGCCATACAGGCAGGCAAGCTGCTAGCTCGCCGACTTTTTGGAGGCTCCTTAGAGAAGGTAAGTCTCTTAATATTGTTGCTATGCCATCAGACCCATGCATGTGTGTGTGTGTGTGTTGCTGATGATTAAGCCCCAGGCCTCATTCACACTAAACAGATGCTGTATCAATGAGCTACACTCCCAGCCATGAGACAATAATATCTTGATCAAAATTATTGTATAAAAAATCAGTACAAATAATACTGTGCTCTTGTTTTCTAAGTTTCCTCTATTTCCTCAGAGGTATAATTTATTTAGTATTGTAAGCAGTATTTATTCAGTATTGTAAGCAAATATCTTTGGTTTCTACTGTGACCCAGATGTGGTATTGGGTGAGACAGAAGATCCCATAGCTCCAGCCCCAGGGCCTTCCGGGTGGGTGGGGACCCCAAGTCAAACAGGCAGAAAGGACGAGAAGATGGAACATGATTTTGTGCTGGAGAGTGTTGTCAGCCAGTTACTTTAGGACCAGGGTAAGGACCAATGGCTCCTAACTGACAAGATGGAAAAGTAAGCAGTTGTATGTGATGGAATAGAAGGTGTGCTCAGCATGGTCAGCTTGCAGGCCTGGCCTCTGTACCTGCTTGGTGTGTGCACTTGGTAGCCAATGGCCTTTCAAGACTTGAATGTCAATCATCTACCAAGCCAGTGATGTGACTTGGATGTTTTGTACCTCTCATGTTCTTGGACCCAGTGCTCAGAATGGGCTCTGCAGGCTGAGTACCTCAGAGGTGAGAACGCAGAGGACTTTCCTGGTGGTCAGGTGACTCAGGTCACAGCATGGAAGTGCAGAGTGCTGGGTTGTGCTGAGGACTCAACACGTCTTACAAGTGATTCCCAAACAGCGCTGCTGTTCCAGAGGCGCTGAGGACAGCCAGGAATGGCAGATAGAGGGTGCCTAGGAGGTCCCCACCAGTGTTTGCAGGAGGATGAGAAGTGCTAAAAGCATTCCCCACAGGAAAAGCTGCCCATCCACTGTGCATCAGGCATTTTGAGGTAGGGGAGATAGTCTAAGATGCGGAGAAAGCATGAAAGTTGGGTAATTTTTGCTCATTTTTCTTCATTTATACTGGGTGCGAGGATAAGCTTCCCCTCTAAGCCATGGAACATGGGCTCAGCAGCCAGTTAGCCAAGGAACACAAGCCCAAGATGAGTCAGACCCTGCTGCGACTTTCTCAGCTGTTGCCTTGACTTGCTGTGACAAAAGATTGGAAACTATCAATTTAGAAGAAAAGGTTTGTTCTGATTTCTGGTTTCAGTCCCAGGTTCCATGGCCTGTGGAGAGAGGTAGCACAGCCTGGTGGGCATGCAAGGAGGTTCATGAGTAGCAAGATAAAAGGCCCAAGTCCCAGCATCCCCTTCAAGGCCATGTCCCAGTGACCTAATTTTCTACAGGCCCCACTGCTAAAGGGGTCCAGCAGTGCCACCAGCTTCCATATGTGGGCTTTTGGCTAGCATTCTTTATTCAGACTGTTCAGCCATGTTGGACAGAAGAAAAATAGGTGCCTGGTCTTCTAAGGTTTGAACATGGGCCAGGGCAGCATGGGGTGAGGGTACATGAGTTCATAGACCCAGACTGATGGGAAGCTGCTCTGTGTGATCCACAAATCCCTTCCTTGATTGATGTTTTATTTTTCTTTGGGATAACAAAGACTAGAAACTCAGACTTGGCAGCTTGAGGGAGTTCATCCTAACAGTCACAGGATTCATAGGCAGCCTCACAGAGCTCACCATGCTCAGTGAGTCCATAGATTTGGGCAGATCCAATTCCCTGTCAGCAGGAGTAGGGTGGGGACACAGTTACAGGAGCACTGTTGGCCTTTGAAGGGCTATGGCAGGCAGGCCCTCAACCCTCCCGAATCCAGAGACCTCTGTACCCCAGATCAGCCCCTCCTCCGGGCCACCAGCAGTCCCACTTGCTCGCCTGCAGGCAGAGCTGCATAACTGCAGAGCTACAGAGAGTCTCTTGTGCAGTGTCCATTCTACCCTGACACTGTCTGACAATGTGTCTCTAGTGTCTTAATGTGCACTCATCCTGGCCCTGGGGTGTCACTGCACCTTGCACCCATGAGTCATCTCCCCTTGTGGGCAAAGAACAGAACTCAGCCCCACCACCAAGCTGCGTGCTTGTGTGGCCTCTCTGTTCTCTGTGGAACATGGAGAGTGCAGTGGCTGGCATGGGCTTAGCTCCCAGTGACATGGCAGAACTCATGGTTAAAAGAAGTACGCAAGAAAGATAGAGTCCAGACCAGTAGGATGGAAAGAAATATCCAGGGGGATTCTTTGGGGGCATAAAAATAGTTCTACTCCCTGGATTTCAGCCTTTGACATACGGACTAGGGAGAGCCAGTCCTAGGTGTTGGTAGCTGGCCAGGGCCTGGCTCTGGCCTTGAGTAAGTGATACATTCTTGGTCTCTGTCAGTGTAACTGAAAATGTCCAGATTAGTGATGTTGAGCCGGTATGGTGGCATATACCTGTAATCCCAGGATATGGGAGCCTGTGGCAGGAGGATCATTGCGAGTTCAAGGTCAGTTGGAGCCGCAAAGTGAGACCCTGAAAAACGAAAAAGAAATTGGTGATATTGTAAGAATCAGTTACACTGAATTATTCTGATATGCTTTTTCTTTTGTAAATATTTGTATTATGGTTATTTGCTCAAAAAGGTGTCACAAAATAAGAAAAATTATATTTTATCTTTCAGTGTGATTATATTAATATTCCAACCACAGTGTTTACCCCTCTGGAATACGGTTGCTGTGGATTATCTGAAGAGGCAGCCATTGAAGTCTATAAAAATGAGAATCTAGAAGTAAGATTGTGTTTTGTTGTTGCCTTTTTAAGAGTTACCCTTTTAATCAACTATTTCTCTTTGCAATCTCTTCTTACCGTTTTGCAAATTAGAACACTGTTTTATTTTAAAAATTATATTCTTGTTTTAAGAGAATTAGAAATTAGTTTAAACTGTCTCTCTAGTAAACTAATAATAAAATTGGAGCTGGGACAGAGGCAAGTTGTAGTCTGTAAGCTAGAACCTTGAGGTACAAGGAAGGATCTGGTGTCTACCTGAGCAAGCTTGGACCTAAGAGAGCAGAGCACCAGTTTAAGGTCTCTAGGAACACTGGGGCAGAAGTGGATCCTAGCTAGGAAGGAACAGTTATTGCAGAACTAGGGATTGGAAGGTGAGCTCATGTTTCCTTTGACTTCTGGGATTCATGCATCTGTCTGTGCACACATGCAGTTTGTTCTTCTGTCTCTGCGGTTGATTTGATTTGCTCCTCAGAGCACATAGTGGCCAAAAGATAGCCTTTCTTCTGTGTCTGTGTTTGTCCAAGAGCTCTGGTCTTTGAGGACTCACCTGGGCACATTGCTGCCCAGTCCTAGCTGGACTGCATGGGCTGGGCATCCCTTAACTGTGCTGGCATGGCCAGCATCCTGTCACGTAGGGCCTGGTGTAGCTGAGGTGGCAACCCCCAAGTGGGCTTCCACTGCTGGCGATTCAGGTTCCTAAAAAGATGTCCTCTGCCCCAGCCCTGTCCAATAGTAACCTAAAACAGCTTTTTATATCATTTTGTAGTGAGTATTTTGGCCTTTTTTTCCTCCTCACCCTCCTAATATAGAAGAAAGAAAAATAAAAAGTTTGACAGTTATTAATGCTTGATATTTTTGTTTTTTAAAATACTCAAGTTATTAAATACTCAGTTTATTGAATCATACAGTGTGAAATCAGGGGGAAAAGATGAAGTGAGTTCCAGTACTTACACTAGGGAACCAGCGGGAGAGCCACACTACCCAAGTCCCTTAACCAAAGTTCATGGGTCCTATAGCTATCTGCTTTTGCTGCATCAGGCTTCACAACTGTTGATGTGACTTGAATTGTGAAGCAGTGTCCAGAGCCACTGTCTCGGAGCTGTGGAGTTGAGTAGAGCCCTTGCTGCCTGCAAGGAGGGCCTGACAGAGAGGCCTGTGCATTTCCGTAAATTTCTGTGTTCCTGGAGGTGCCGGATGCCACCATCTCGCAGCACTTGTGTTCATGGTTCAGCTTGGTGTTGCCAAGATGGCAAAAAGGACCCTGTCCTCCCACAGGAAGGCTGAGCTCTTTGACTGCTGATCTCTGCTTCTGATTCCTGAGTGGCCAACACAGAAGCTGCCATTCTTTGAGCCCTCAAAACTTAAAGTGACAGTATTCTGGCCACCACCGTCCCACGGGAGTCAGACACATAAGGAAATGTTTGTCAGGATATTGACCAACCACAGGGAAAATAGCAGGAGCCTCAGCAGCCATGCACAGCAATGAATGCACACTTTGCAAAAGAGTGAAAAACTTACAGGCAACAATAGTTCTCCACAGGGAAATCTGAGCTATCCCTTAGGAGGATACATGTGACTTCCATAGCCACCACATCCTATCAGCCAGCTGTTCAGTTCTCAACCAAAAGCAGCAGAATCAGTGTATCAATTTGCCCAGCCTGCCCAAACCACAGACTGAGTCACTTAAACAAGAGATTTATCATCTCACCTTTGGAGCCTGGAAGTCTGAGACTGATTATGAATTCAGCAGAGACCTGGGCTTCCCTCTCTGCAGGCTTGTGCTGGCTGCTGGTGTTCATGTCATTCTGTTTGTTCCCATAGTGTCTCCCTGTGTATGTCCTTTGTAAAAACACTAGTTTCATTGGATTAGGGGGAGCTGGATATTTAGCTCAGTGGTGTAAGCACCTGCCTGACTACAGGGTCATGAGTTCAATCCCTGGTACCAAAACAAAACAAACGAACATTGGATTAGGGATCCCCTATACCCTAGTATGACTTCATCTTAACTAATAACATCTACAGTGACCCTATTTCTCCTGGGGGAAAAAATCTCTCTAAGATACTACAGGCTGGGAATTCAACAAATGATTTGAGATAATTTAGACATAATTCATCTCGACAGTGTACAAATACCAAGAAAGTAAACCCCATGCATAGAAACATAATTTATCAGAAATTATAAAGCCAGGACCCGTGAACTCTGTATAAGGGATTCAGATGGTCTCCTCCTAGATCATGGGAATTTTTAATCAAAGACATTGTATCAACTGTCTTCAGTATGTTCAGTGAGCCATAGGAAACTATGAGCAAAGAACTAAGGAATCAAGAAAACAAATGATCAAACCAAGGGTATCAGTAAAGAAATAGAAAGGACAAAACCCAACCAAACACACTGGAGCAGAAAACTGTCTGAATTGAAAAACTCACAAGAAGGATGTCTTAGTTACTTTTTTTGTTGCTACGACAAAACACTCAATACCCAAATTTAAAGGAGAAAAGGTTTAACATAGCATACAGTTTGTAGAGGTTTCAATTCACAGCTGACTGGCTCCACGGCAAGGTGGCGTGGCAGAGGGACATCACAACGGAGAAACAGCTCATGGCAGACAAAAGACAACAAAGTAATGAAGCAGCAAGCCACAAGCAGTGACCTTTTTTCTGTACCTTATGTCCGATCAAAGCTACCAAGTGTAGGACCAGGCGCACTCATACCCAGGCTTAACCCCAGCGTCACACTGTGAATCAATGCCAGCATCACATCCTTGATCTCAGCAGCACACACCCTAAATCCAGCCGCCTCAAAAAGCCCGTCTGTGACCACATGAGGTTTTAGGGGAACATCTACATGCAAACCATCATAAAGAGCTTAGAACAAAATTGGAAGAGGCTGAAAGAGTCTCAGCAAACTTGAGGATAAGACAATGGAAATGATCCAATCTGAGGAACAGAGTAAAAAAGAGTAAAGAAAAATGAGAAGAACCCACAAGACCCACAGGACACCATAAAGCACTGGCATGCACATGGTTGGGTCCTTGAAGCTGAAGAGAGGCAAGAGGGGCAGGAAAAGGTTCAAATGAATAATGGCAAGAACTCCCAAGTTAATAAAAAACACGGGCCCACACACCCAGACAGCTCAGTGAGCATCAGGCTGGGTGAACTCAGAGATCCACAACTATGCCTGTGGGGTTTTTTTTTTTTTTTTTTTGGTCTTTTTTTATCTGTACTGGGGATCAAACTCATGACCACACACACACTTGCAAAGCAGGCGCTTATGCTGCTGAGCTAAATCCCCAGCCCCTACAACTACCCCTGTTACAGACCAATTGTCAGATTCCAGACAGTTTTGGGAGTAGTCACCAAACAGCTGATTTTTCGTCATAAACCATAAATCATATAGGCCAGATAGCAATGGAATGACATATTTAAAGTCTGGAGAGAAGAAACCACCTAAAAATTCTGTACTCAGCCAAAGCATTCTTTAAAAATGAAGGGAAAATGAAGATGTACCCAGAAAAACAAAGGTAGAAGGAGTTCAGTATCCTCAGAACTGCCGCAAAGGATCGCCGAGAGTCCACTACAGGCCCAGGTGAAACACAGCAGACCGCAACTGGAAGGCGCAGGAAGCAGGACCCCTGGAGACCACAGCATCACATATAAATGCAAAAGCCAGGGGTTTGTCCTTTTGGTTTCTTTGGTAACTACTCTCTTTTGCCTATATAATTTTAAAAGGAATTAAAACAATAATTATGAATCTGTGTTAATGAGCTTATGTTGTATGTATATGTAATCTATGACAATAAGGATGTAAAAGGCTGAGGAGCAGAGATTGAACTGGATGACCACAGATTTAGGATATTGATTAAAATCTCCAAGGAAATCATTGGTGAAACCAGTTTGAAATAGATACAAAAAAGGAAGGAAGAAAGGAATCAAATATGGTACTCTCCAAAAAGTAGAAATAAGTACTAATGGGGCCAGGATTTAGCCCAGTGGCATAAGCACCTGCCTGGCAAGCACAAGCTCAGTTCAATCCCCAGTACCAAAAAAAAAAGTACTAAGGGAGGAACTGAGCAACAAAATAACTTCGGACATCACACTTAAGAAACCAATGACTAATCCAAAGTTAAGCTGCGTGCCTGTCTTTTAAGAATTAGAAGCCACCTTAGCTCTTAAGTGTCGGTCTGCGCTGCGGTTTGTCTCGGTGTGGTGTATGGTCTCTGTGAAGTTGGGTGCTCCGCTCTTTGAGTGCGGCTTTCCACTTGCCTCTGCGCAGTGGAGTACTGGAAGCCCTGGGGACTGTGTAGCTGAGAGTGTAAGGTGCTGAGAGACCTCGGGAAGAAAGATAGCTACAGCCTCTTCCAGGGAGAAGTGTGCATAAACAAAGCTTCAGACAGGAAGACAGGTGGAACCGGTTTAAGCATGTTTTTTTTTTAAACATGAAGATACAGAGAGAGAGAGAGAGAGAGAGAGAGAGAGAGAGAGAGACAGAGACAGAGAGAGACAGAGACAGAGAGAAAAGAAAAAAAAACAAGAATTAGATACGAGGGCCTCTGGGTAGGTTAAAGTACTCGGGGACAGAGATCATTGTCTTGCATAATGACTTTGAAAATAATGTTGAATAACTGTACGTAACTTGACCAAAATTAAAATTGAAAAAATGTCATAAGCAGTAATCTGAAGACTGAATAGAGGGTAATAGGGAGAGCCTAATCGATGACATAACCACTGTCATTACAGTGTGCAGTGTAGGCACACAGGGGACAACACAAAATCCAGAGCTGATGCAAATGCTCCAAAGGGTTAAGATGCAGTTCAGGGCACCCGTTAAGTTGGTGAAAAAAGACAGCTCAGCTGCTGGGGGCTGCCAGGAGCCTGTCAGGACAGAAACAAATGGATCCACACCTCACACTCACTGTAAAGAATGAGGCCAATGGCTTTGGGTAAAATCCTCAAAGTTAGAACACACGTTTACCAAAACCCCAGGGAGTAAGGGACACAGGAGGGGGGATAGGAGAAAGTGGGACCACCCTTACCCTGTAGCAGGGACTGTCGAAGTAGAGGCTCGCTGCTTCCAAAACCATGCTGGAAGAGACTGTCTTTAACCCAAGGGATATCTTTAGGAAATTGGATTGGGAAAGAAACATTGGTCTTCTCTCCTAACAGTCAGACACTAAAAAGTTACCATTAAAATGAGTATAAAAATTTCTCTTCTGTTAAAAACAGTCATCTTGTTACAAGGAAGTATTCACAGTGCTACTTTTCAGTAATAGTGTCATAGCTGCACATGCACCAGCCCTGGACACTTTCTCAAAATGACTGTGTCCAGCTGGGATCATAAACAATTTTGATCCACCTGCTGTGGTTTACAGCTCAAAATATGCTTCTGTGTCACTGAGCATTGTTCACCGTCTTCTTTGTGGGGTGGTTGAGGGGCTGACTCAGGAGAACAGCATCATTCCCAGTGGTGGAGGGGTGTGCTAGGGCTGGGGTCCTTCGGGGCTCTGGCTGGGACTCGGGGTAGAAGCATACAGTGCGCAGTCCCTGCTTCCAGGTGGTATAGGTCATATACTACTATGAATGGCGAGCATGGTTGTCACAGCTGCTCTTCCTTGATTTGGAGTGGCCATGCATGCTCTAGGCGGTGACTCAGTCTTCACCTCTTCAGCCCACCTGGGTCTAGTGTGCTGCCAATCTGTAAACTCTATAGATGTTTGGAAATTGAACTGAGTTGTTAGGGTTGTTTTCTGTATGACGCTAACTGACGACAAGTCAGGACACTTCTGCAGGTACTGTTCCGGGAGCTCCTGGTGAGATGCTCCCATCCCAGGCCTTGAGTCAGCTCCGCAGACTTCTGAATCTCTGCAGGCTGTGTGAAGACCGCTGTCTGTGTAGAATTAGAGTGTGGCAAGGAGTAGTCTTCATGGATGTTCACCTCTGCCTTTCTCTCCCTCTTCTCATCACCAGGTGTTTCATTCTTTCTTCCTGCCACTCGAATGGACAGTGGCCCGCAGGGAAAGCAATACTTGCTACGCGAAGATCATCTGCAACAAGCTTGACAGTGTATGTAACATGACTACAGCTGAAAGGGTGCAGTCCTATGTATGTTGGCCCAGCCCAGCATGTTGTAGGTTTTAAAAAGGTGGCCCTTGTTGGTAGGATTTGGAGTTCTTTCACCTCATCAGTGTCCCCAGAGGACACGTGCACAGAGATTGTCAGGGTGGATCAACACTGGGCTGACAGGTCCCAGAGGTCATCTCCACTGCAGAGTGGTTCAGGCTGGGTGGTTAGGATGGGATGAGCATGGAAATTGGGGTCATCACCCACCATGGTGCATGGAGTATGTTTGCGTGTGTGTGTGCACATGTGCATGTGTGTGTGTTGTGGAAGCAGATGGAGGTGTGTGGGAGGCCTGGGAAGATGCTCACCCCAAGTGGACCCTAGGAAGGGCAGAGGGGTGACAGGCTTCACATTATAGCAGCAGAGGGGGTGACAGCTGTCCCTGAGGTATCAGGACAGAGCCTGGGAGCTCCCAAAACAGCTGAGAGTACAACTTGTTGGGGACCTGCTTTGTGAAGATCTCGGGTGTAGACCACAGTGGGGAAACCCGGTTCTTCATTCTGTAAGGGTTTGCAGTCTGGGGCAGGGAGGGCCTCAGCAGTGGAGCATCTCCTGGCATGCATGTGGCCCTCTTTATTCTCTCTGCACAGATCAGGCATGAGAACATAGGTATGAGTAACATGCAGCCAGCGTTGTGAGGATGAAGTGTCTCTGTGCTGTCCTGTTCTCAAGATGACAGAAAATGGGGGTCCTGGGCCACCAGCCTGTTGGCATGTGTATTAGTCAGTGATTTACTAGAGAAACAGATAATAACACAAGATACACAAATGTATACGAAATGTATATGCAAAAATGGCTTGCAATGGCCACCCACAGAGTTGCATAAAGAAGCGTGCAGAGGGTGTTCTCACACTAGAGACCAAAGGTTTCAGTCCAGGATCTGGAGCTCCCTACCATGTCCTGTGCAAGTCCATGTCAGGGGGCCACGGGGTCTGCAGCAGAAGGCTGGACAGTCCACACTGGAAGGCAGGAGATGACATCCAAGGTGAGGAATAGTGGAGCTCCTCTGAAGAAACAGAAACAGATCCGTTCTTCATTTCCCTTTACACCATCCAGGCGAGAAGCCAAGCCACCCTGGGATAGGTCTTCACACCCCAGGGTGCGGAATTGCTGAGTGGATTTAGTTAAGCTTCTCTTACTCAAATTGACACAAGTGATCACCTCACAGGTTGGGCTCTGGGATTTAGTCCCTGGGAGCTGCACTTGTCTCTGAAACAGTGATGGGAGGATGGTCACAGTGGCCCTGGCATGCTGCCCTGTTGAACAGGCCGGCAGACCTCTCTCTAGGGTCAGTGTTTGAGGACTGCATTCAAGTCCTTTGAGTAGAAGTCACATGGGGCTAAGGTGGGAGTGGTGGGAAGCCTGCCTGCTTTCCTTCCTTCCTTCCTTCCTTCCTTCCTTCCTTCCTTCCTTCCTTCCTTGCTTGGTTGGTTTGTTTCTCTCTCCATTTTTTCCCCTTGAGACAGAGTCTCACTGTGTAGTCCTAGACAGTCTCAAAGTCAGTAATCCTCCTGTCTCAGCCTCCTGAATGCTGGGGTTACTAGTGTGTACTGCTGTGCCTGGCTGGGCAGCCTTTGTGAAAGGAGCAGGGAGACAGTGATCCATACTGCTGCCCTCTTGACCTGAGGTAGAGGCTGGGAGGGCCCTGCTGGGATAAGACCTGTAACCTCTTCACAGAGGTGCTGGCTGTAGCCACTAGCCCCAAGCAGTGCTTGGGGCCTCCCCCACCCCATCCCTTACCACCCTCCTACTCGCCCTCAGTGCCCACCAGGTCCCTAGGTTGTGATCTCACACTTGATACCAGCCACTAGAACAAGACAAAGTGGCCCCTTTCATTTCTCCTCTAGATTTCCTTCCTTCCATCCTTCCATCCTCCCACTCTTTCTCCATCTTTTTTTGTGGCGCTAGGATTTGAACATGGGGCCTCACATGAGACAAGTGCCCCAGCCTGAGCAGCACCCCAGTTGCAAGCATCCCTTCCTGTGTTTGTGAAATGGAAAAAAGGTTTTAACTCTGCTGTATGGAAAGCATTGCACACTTCCTGGCCAAGGCCTGTCTTTATTTTCAGTTTCTAGTGGAATCGTCACCAATGCCCCTCTCCCAATTTGCTGTATGATGCAGCCTGGAATCTGACCCCACAGCTGCCCATGGTCCTGGCACCTGCACTTCTACCCCATCCAGGACCCTGAGCACTGTATGAGGTCGGCTGCGCTGACCCAGCCTGGATGGCACTGTCTGCATGGCCAGAGATGCCCCCTACTTGGTCCTCTGTTCTCTTTACTGTTTTTTCTCCATAACCCTAAATAAGCACACTGTCCCTGGACTCTGATGGCGAGTCTTGCCTCTATTGCCAAGGGTCGCTTGCTACGTACAGGCAGACCTGGTGATAGACATCTGATGACAGCCAGCACAGGCTGCCCCTCATCTCTGCTCCTGTTGGAGACAGTATCCTGCTTCCCTTGCTGGTGGCTTTGCTTTCCAGTAGCCCTGATGCCTTGGGATTGATTTGGCATTTGCACTTTAATTCAGAGTTGCTGTGTTGTTGTTGCATACTGTCCCCAGATAATTCAGCAATTTACATCGCCCTAATGAACTCCTTTATGCAGTGGGCAAATTGCTTGTTCTAGTAAATTTGAGTGCACATTAACTCTAGCCATGTATTTACTGGCTCATTTAACAGATTCCTGCCGTGGCTCACTTTCCTGGTGATGTTCTCTGCTCACTTGAACACTGGAGTTTTCCTTTCCTGAAGGAGAGGCTATAAATCTTAATGTGAACTTGCAGGGGGTGGGTTTCTGTTCAGATCATTCACCTACTGGATTCTCTGTTGTTGCCTGCATTAAAGGACCGTGTGATAGGATTTCACGTTCTTGGACCAAACGCTGGCGAGATCACTCAAGGGTTTGCAGCCGCAATGAAATGTGGGCTCACGAAACAGCTGCTTGATAACACTGTTGGAATTCACCCCACATGTGCAGAGGTAGGGAACAGAGAGGTTTCTTTCTTGACTTCAGTTGACCATTTTAAGTACATGTCAGAAAGACTTTTTCTTAATGTCAGGTTTGTTTTTGTTTGAGACAGAGTCTCACTGTATAGTTCAGGCTGGCTTTGGACTCTCTCAGGTGTGGCCTTAACCTCAGCCACACCTCAACTCATTGCAATCCTCCTGCCTCAGCCTCCTGAGTGCTGGGATTACAGGTGTGCACCACCACCCCTGTCTGTTTTGTATATTTTAAGGGACAGTATGGGTGTTCTCCCAATACACTGGTAGCAACTGTGTATCTGTGTTTCCTTCCTTGTGCACAGGTATTCACAACCCTGGACATCACCAAGTCGTCGGGACTGGACATCACTCAGAGGGGCTGCTGAGGCTAGTGTGCTGCTGCTGTGTTTCCTTGGCCACTTCTCATTCCTTCCAAAGACACCAGCCCTGAACAGGGGGTGGAGATGAGAAGGTGACAGGGACACAGCAGCAGCAGACAGCTGCAGGGACTCTGGTTGACACGCAGCAGGTAGACTGCATCTTTGACGCCCTGGCTCGGAACCCTGTTGGGGAGCCTGGGCTGACTCCGTGCATCAGACCTGAGCTTCTCCTAAGACCTCAAATGGCACTGGTAGCCCAAGTGACCCCTCCTGGTGCCTCATGTTTTTATCCTCTCACTTTGTTTTCTACAAGGGTATTTTTTCTATGAAGCCAGTTATAAAGGCAATTTCTGGCACAGGCCTGGCGCATACATGCTTGGGGCCCATGTGTCTCCAAGCACTGGGTACAGATTGCATTAGCAAGAGAGTGTGCCTTGGCCAACTGCCCTGCCTCTCAGGTGCATCTTACCTCGTGCCTAAACCCAGGCGTTGGCATCCCCTGGTGATAACTCTCGGGACTGCTTTCCTCACACTACTCCAGGCCATCAGAACATCTCATGGAAGAGAAAATACTTGAATCTCTTTTTCATGTTGATCTTAAAAATCCTATTATAAAGTTTTCACTATTGTTTTATGTGAAATATAATTTCAAACTGTTGGAAATGATTCAGTTGCAGTCTGTGTGAGTCAAGCTCATAAATGAATGGTGGCATTGGAGGTTGCATGTGGACCTAAAAACAGCAGCATCTATTCTCCTGAAGCAGGGGGCAGCTGGTGACCTTTTGGAAAAGCTCTGCTCCTCTTAAGGAGCTGGATTCCAGGCTCTTTCCAGCCACTTGTGTCCTGAGTGGTGCCCTAGTCACTTCGCTGGCACCATTGCCTGGGGACATGTATGTGATGGGCATCATGCCATCCTCTGCAGGTGAGATGGGGCAGGGCACATGGGGATGGCTGACTTAGGACCTGAATTAAGCTGCTTTTCTACTGGGGAGACAGACATGCAAATGTGACTAAACTGTCAGAAGGTAGTCACTGCTGTAAGGCAGGACATTGTGAATGGCATGAGATCCTGTGACTTCCCATGTCACATGGGGTGGGGCAGCTGAACAGTGCAGTGGGGGCAGCAATACTTGAGCTGAATGCCAAGGGGACGATGGGATTCCAAAGCCCAGAAGCAAACAGAGTCAGTGAAAATAGCAAAATAGGAGGTAAGTTTTTTAAATTTGGAGTTGGAGATGTAGCTCAGTGGTAGAGCACTTGTCCAGCATATAGCAGGCCCTGGGTTCCATCCTCAGTGCCACACACACACACACACACACTCACAAGATTGTCCAGAACTCAAAAATGAAAACAAGGAAACCTGGAAGCCATCACCTCCTGCCTGGCACTGAGTAAAGGGGGAAGTAGCCCAGGGCCACCCAAAGTGACATTTCTAATAGAAAACTCCATGTGAAGCCATAACCCTGATGTGTGGTGACAGCAGGGAGCCTGCTGGGAACAGGACCTGGCACTGGTGTGGAGGCCACAGGCTGATTATCTTTTTTTGAGGAACTAAAGAACTCACATATAAACCTGTCTGCAGTTGGCTTCCTCCCAAGCTTCCACTTTCCTCTTGTCTCTCTTTTCTCCTCAAGTCACAGGAGGGCAGAGAGCCCCACTGCACTGTTCAGCTGCCCCACCCCACGTGACATGGGAAGCCACAGGAGGGCAGAGAGCCCCAGTGTATTGGTAAAAAAATTACCCAGAAGATAAAACTCATATAGCTCTAATAATACATAAAAAGCTACAAGGAAAAACTGACATTCACCCTTACACTGGAGACTTTAATATATCACTAAGTAACTTACAAGATCACACACACAAAAAAAAAAATCACTAAAGATACAGATCTGAGTAACAGCTTGATATAAGGAGCTTAGAATGCTCCATGATGACTACTGAACTCAGGCACATCTGGAATAGATATTTGCCATGTAGTCATAGGTGGAGGCTGAGCTTCCCACATTTCATGAGGTGGCATTCAGATAACGTGGAAACAGCAGAATTACAGCCATGATAACCAATGCTAGGTACCCAAAGACCTTAGGACCTGCTGGGTGGGCTGGGAGTGGGGTTTGGAGGTGATGGGGGCATGCTGCAGAGCCAGGGGTCGGCATGGAAGCAGGGACAGTAGGGGAATCCGCTCTGAAGAATGACATGCCTGGCACTGTGTCAGAAGAGAACAAGAAGTCACCAAGAAGCAAGCCCTCCCTGCAAATGGACGCCATGCATGGGCTGCTGGGGAACAGCCAGATGCCAGCCCCTTCCAGCATGCAGGCTGGGAAACGAGAACCAACCCTCCACCTCCCTCACCAATGATAACTATTGAGGTAAAATACAATTTAGTTCTGTAGTGTTTAGTGTTTCACTTACTTTGCAGGTCTAAAGCCGATAGTATGATCATGTATTCAGAGGATAACAACATGCAGTATAGCATCTATGGGGCAATCTCCTGAGGATGATAGCCATTGTTAATTCACTATCATCTTGTTTTGAAGTCCTGTATCATTTTCATTGTTTTATTGGGTTGGGCTTTATTCTGTTTTGTTTGATTTTATTATATCTGATGGCATAGGCAGCTGATTTCCTATTGTTTTGAAGTCCTGTGTCACTTATACTGGTTTGTTTTATTCTATTTTATTTTGCTTGGTTTTATTCTCTTTAAAAATTAAAAAAAAAAAAAAACTGGCACGCCTGGCAGTGCCTGATCCTGTGACAGAGGAGATGTCACCTGAGTGAATCACACAGCTTTTCCTGTTCTCCATTCACCAAGTTGGACAGTAATGCCTGCCCCAAAGGCTTATTCTCTGGGAACCCAGAAGCCTTCCTTAAGTTCCTGCCATGCAGCACACTGGTGTCAGGCAGCTTGGCCTCTAGTGATGAGCAGAGGCTGGCGTGAAGGCTCTGGTGGCCACACTGCACTAGGAAGCTGGCTGGGTGACTCTAGGCCGAGCAGCACTTGTGCAGACCTTGACTGTGGGAGTCAGCTCCGGGGGCTCTGATGGGGAGTACTTAACCATGAGCGATCACAGCCTGTGTTGTCCCTTTGTAATATGGCAGTGTCACAGTAGCACACAGCAGAGGGAACAGTGTGGCACTTTCTGAGTTAGGCCACAAACAGACTGCAGCTGAAGTTGTCATGTCTGTTTCCCCTCCCCTCGCCCCTCTCCCCTCTCCCCTCTCCCCTCATTCCTCACTCTGGAGGAGGAAGCTATCATGTCAGGAAGACACTCAGGAAGCCCAAGGTGAAGGCCAGATGGTGCAGAACTGAAGTCAGCAAGAAGCTGGGGTCTGGCAATGCCTGTGCAAATGAACTTGGAAATGAATCAGGCTTCCCTGAACCTGTGCTTACCAGACCTTAGGCCACAGATACGCAGTTTGGTCAGCCCCAGGCTCCTGGCCCTCAGAAACTACAAAAGAATAAATACTGGTTTAAGATGCTAACTTTTTGTAACCCAGATAATGCATTCACCAAGGAAATTAAAATTAGTACAGACCTGCTCACATAATTAAATGTCTTCTGGGTCATTTGTTCCTAGGACAAACACAGCAAACCTGTTGTGGAGTTGGGAGCTCCACAGAATGAGGCTGGAGCTGCACCTCATCACTGTGCTGGTCCATCTGCACCCACAGTGGGAAGTCGGGCAGCCCTGTGGAGGGCCCTCTGCCTCTGGGGGGCTGTGCAGTGGGCTGGTGCATCCCTGATAACCTTCTTTGCATGACCCCTCACCATCAGAGCTCAGCAAATGACCACAGGCAGACAAGGTTGTCATGCAAAGCAGTTTATTAAACCTAGCAAGGGAGAGCACAGCCTCAGTTGATGCTGGTATCATCTCAAACAGGTTGGGGGCCTAGAGAGCTGGGGGGACTGGCAGAGATTAGTAAGTGGGTCTGTGTAGGGAGCTGTTGAAGCTGGAGATTGATCGTACGTGTGGGGCTAACACAAGTCCAACCCTAAAAACAGCTCAAAGTAAGCTATATAAACAAGCTGTCCCAGCACTAAGAAGGCAAGGCGCCCAGGCCTGCCAGGCAAGCAAGCTGCTAGGAAGTGGGGTTGAAATTGACATTCTTTGGGAGTGTATGGAGTGTATAAGTATGCCACACTGGCCAAGCAGTTCCTTTCCTCCCATAAGGAGGCTAAGGGCTCCACCTGACCCCAGCTTTGTCTCTTCTTATAAATTTTCTTATCCTTCACCCCAAGAACCTCAAGAGCCACATGGGTCACAGCGTATGGCACCTGGAAAGGGGCCAGGGTAAGAAGAAACAGTGGGCTAGGGGACACTTCTCACTGTGTGAGCACTGGAGAGAAGTATAGGGAGTGGGCAGTAGTCATCACAGGAGTGAACTGATACATCATCAGGTGTAAAACTTGGGGATAAAAATGAGTCCATTAGGGCTAGAAAAGGGGGGGGGGAGCTAAATAGGCTTGAGAGAAGCCAAAGAAACAAACAGGCTTGTGAGAATTCAAAGGGAAAGTTGGCCTACCAGAAACCAAAGGGGAAAAAAATCAATTTTACTAGTTGTTAGGTATGGGACAAATACGTTCTATAGAATTGCAAATGTATATGGAACTGCTGGTTGTGTGCTTGATTCTAATATTTACATTTTTGTGTGGATCTGGGTTAGACAGGATATTAATAATTGTAAACCTATGGAATCAAACACAAAGGAACTGACTCTGGGTACTGTTTTAGAATCAAGTGCTGCACAGGACAAGGATGATAGAGCATCGAAAAAACCCGATAGAGCTTGGGCCCTCTGACATTGCTCAGTTAAATAGGAAGGAACAGGGGGACAGAGGGGACCTTTCCGCACTAAGTAAGGCTTTCATCTCAACTGAGCCACAAGAAGCAATTCCTGCTTTTCAGCCCAGACAAATTCTGTTGCATCACGGGTTGGAATTTCTGCTCCCAGGGGAGTAGAGCCACTTTCTCTGTGTCTCTTGCAATTGGCACTAAAAGCAGCCAGAATGGGGAGTACAGTACATGGAGAGTTTTCAACATATCTACCTGGTTACAGAACTTCAAGCCCCAAAATCGGGGACAAATTGTGCATCTTTATGAAGTGGCACCTTTTAAGTCACTAAAAGAATTAAAACATGCTACTGCCACCTATGGCCCTACAGCCCCATTTACCTTGGGTTTCATAAAGCTCCTAGAACAGCAAATTATGGCCCCAAATGATTGGAAAGCAGTAGCTAAAGCAGGTTTAAATCCAGGGGATTATTTGTTGTGGAAAGGCAATTATTTTGAATTGTGCACAGATCAGGCTTTGTGCAGTGCTGCTCAGAACATAGCTATTATAAAAGACATGTTGATAGGAGAAGATACCTTTGCTGCTACAGGCAGTCAACTTGCTTTTGATATGCAAATGTATGACCAAATTAGAATGGCAGCCACTAGAGCCTAGAGGGAGTTGCCTAAAGGGGTGAGACCTCTCTGGATTTGACTTCTGTTCATCAGGGTCGGGATGAACATTTCAGGATTTTGCAGCATGCTTATTGCAAGCTAGTGAGAGAATTATAAGGACAAAGAAGCAAGTAAGTTAATAGTCCAATAGCTGGCTTTTGAAAATGCAAATAAATGGTATAAAGAAGCTTTAGGAGCCCACAGAAAACTCGCTACACT